TAGCACATGACTCCAGGTGATGTACAAGTACAGTTACTTCACAACTCAACACACAAAAGCTCTTCCTGTCCTGTCAGGGTTTTCAAAAAGCACACAAACTGAGCGGCTGAAAGACATTCTAGTACCTGTTCAACCCAAGGAAATAGTCGAGGAATGGGAGAATCACAAAGAAGAAAGGAAGTGAGACAGCAGACTCTTCCTGAACATGCTGCACATCTACAAGAGGTATAAATCACAATCCCAGGGCAGAACATTGGAATTTCTGTCTGCAGCAGAATGGCTGGATATGAAGCGAGATGGGCTGTGGTCATCAGTGGCAAGACAGTACATGATGCGGCAGATTTATGAAAAGGGATAGATTAAATATGTGGACCAGGAGCACGATGGCACAGAAGATGCCAATCCAAGTAGGAGACAAAAATATTTCAATATCACAGGTCTGTGATGAAGGCAAAGAGAGAAAACTGCTTTTTGAACCTGGACAGATAGAGAGGCCATACCCAACCTCTGAAATAAGTGCTGGAGAAACTCAGCAGGTCTGGCAGTATCTGCGGAGAGAGAAACAGAGTTCATGTTTTAAGTGTGGAATCCAGAACTCTGATTCCATGAATAGGAGAGCTGACAGTAAGAGTTCTCAACCAATACCGATCACACCTGGTAGGCATGGACAAGTTAGGCCGAAGGTCCTGTTGCCATGCTCTAGGGCTCTAAAAAATATCACTCACAAGTAGCCAGGTGTTTCAGCATGTTGTTCTGACAACAAAGTACTCAAGTCATTACAGATTATGACAAATTAAATAGTTCTCAAAGCTGAAACCTGACTTCTGTTCATGTTCATCCTAAAGACTGGATAAATGAAGAAGGAATGAAATTGTGAACAAAGTCAGTGCGGTTGTAGCATTTAGACAATATTCTTGAAAAACCACAGCCTGATTAAGGTGTGATCAGCCCTGGGTGCATCAGACTGAAGCAAGGAAAAGAAGGGCTGGGAATTGAAGATTCAGTCAGCAATTCTCAGTGTCTGACTGGACATTTCAATCCACAA